AAGGATGAGTTGGAGTTTAGTAAAGACAAAGGTCACGGCCGTTTCCTGCGGGGATGTCTAAACCACTCGCTGGTGCCTTGTACGTGGCAGAATCCTGTCACCAGAGTGAAGCCCTCGCGGCCCCAAATATTTATCTGGGTAGCCCCACGATGCTGACTCATCCCTTCTGGTTGAGGCAAGAGCTCTTCTGGGCCACGAACGTCCCGTATGAATGTTCCAACAGGACAGGCAGCTGGGCACAGTCCCCGAGGGGAAGTGCGGGACGGGACGAGAGCTCAGAGGACTGCCCAGTGGAGCAGTGGGGACTGGGGGGGTCACAGCTCTGTGCCTCCACCTTGTCACTCTGGGCTATTGGAACCTGGAGAAACGTCAGGTTTGCACCATCGATCCATTTATGGGCCATGATCTCAGCCACCGCTGACCTGGTCTGTGCCCTCAGGATCTGAAAGGCCACGCGGCACAGAAGGGGGTCGGCAAACCTAAGAATTACAAGGTGAACAGCCTTGGGTGGGGCCCCAGCCAGACTCAGAAGAGAGCAGGGCCATGTTTATCGTCTTCGTATTACTATATTCCTTACCCACCCCCACTCTCTCCCAGCTTAGTGCGGCCCCCCTGCGAGCTTCCCGCCTTCCCGGACTCTGCTGGGGAAGGAGCGAAAGGGTCCTGGCTCTGCCACCAGCTGTGGTTTGGGAGCGGATGCCTTCAAGACTTCAGCTCCTGCCGGGCGGGCACGGTGGCTCACACCTGTAATCCTAGCTCTCTGGGAGGCCGAGGCGGGCGGATTGTCTGAGCTCAGGAGTTCGAGACCAGCCTGAGCAAGAGCAAGACCCTGCCTCTACTAAAATTAGAAAGAAATTAATCGGCCAACTAAAAATATATAGAAAAAATTAGCCGGGCATGGTGGCGCATGCCTGTAGTCCCAGCTACTCGGGAGGCTGGGGCAGTAGGATCACTTGAGCCCAGGAGTTTGAGGTTGCTGTGAGCTAGGCTGACGCCATGGCACTCTCTCTAGCTAGGGCAACAGAGTGAGACTCTGTCTCAAAAAAAAAAAAAAAAAAAAGACTTCAGCTCCCATAGGGCCGGGGAATCACAGTGAGAAAACCTCCAGGGGAAGTGAAACTTTCGAGAATTTTTGAGATTCTCTCCTGCTTCCTGAGATGATAGAGTATAACAACTAAAAATCTGGACTCTGGTGCCAAGAGTTCCTGGGTTCAAACCTTGGTTCCATCATTTACTAGCTGTGTCTGTGTGGACGAATCACCATTCGGGCTCCCTGTCTATTAAAACAATCGTCCTCACCCTGTTGTGGGGACTAAATGAGCTAATTCTTGAGTAAAACGTGCTCACCCCATGCCCGGCGCACCCTCAGCGCTCCGCGGGTGTACCTCCTGCCCAGCTCTGGTCTGCCAGTCCCAGAGATCGGCTAGCAGCTAGCACCCGGCAAAGGTAAACTTCTTTCGAGAGGGGGTGGCAGATGGGAGCCCCCAGACCCTTAAGAGAATAAGGTCTAGTAGAGTCCGGTAGGTTGTATCCCTGCTCCAGACTTGGACTGAAACTTTTGGAAAGCTCCCTCCCCCTCACTCTGGTCAGAACTAATTCGGGGCCTCATCTCTGTGATCACGTCCCTTAACCCAACCTCCCCTGAAGAGCTTACCACCTCCCATCGAAGTGTATTTAAAAGTTGTCAGGCTCCCTGGCCAGAGTTTCTGAGGTCAGGAACTGAATTCCAGCCATCCTTCTATCTCAAACAAACGTTGAAACAAAAAGATTTTGATGTGGGCAACTCGTCCACTCCTCCCTGCACCTCTGAGGACAGACCAGGAGGAGACTTCCCATGGAAAGAGCACTTAAGTCAGAATCCGGAATCGGAAGACAAGTTCCCACCCTGCGCTCCAGTGCCTTTACCTGGCAGTGACTCAGTTTCCTCATCTATACCTGCAAAATAGGAAAGCGGCCCCCACCCCATCCCCCTCCCCGGTGGGTGCAGAGGCCAAATGTGATGCCCCTTGGGACAGAACAGTGTTTTGTAAATGTCTGCACCAGACACTCATCCCCAGGCATGGGGAAGGCCTCCCTCACTAAATGGCCTTTGGCCTCTGCGCAGCCTCAGAGAGTGGGTGTCACAGTGGAATTCCTTTCCAGACTGCGAGTGTCTTCGTTTAGCAAGAGGAAATCACAGAAAAGCTGTGTGACCCAGGCCAGAGGCCTCTCCTCCTCCTCTCCCTGAGTTTTCCTGCCTGCAAACCCCTGCGCAGGCTGCCCGGGCTGTGGCTGCCGCTTTGCTGAGGAATGCGGCCTCAGCCCCCTGCCTGCTGGCCTCCTGCTGGGGAGTCCGTTCCCCCTCTCCTTCCTCCGTTTGCAACCACTATTTATTTATCTTTGGAAGTTCAAGGAACCAGAGCCTGCAACTGGGAGAGGTCTGTGGAGCCAGGGAGGGAAAGTGAAGAGGCCAGTGTCTAGGCCAGGTGTCTGCCGCCCACGGGCGGGGGAGGCAAGCCGCTTCCCTGCCAAGGCGGGGGTTTGGCCGACTGGACACAGGGGTCCTGGAAAAGGCACCACCCACACCAGCAGGGCACGCTCATGAAAGGGGGGCGGTGCTCACCTTAGGGACCTCTTGGGTGGTGCAGTGAAGATGAGGAGCAGGAGTCCCGCCCCAGCCCTGGCAGCTCTGTTAAGTGGCAGAAAGGCCAGCGGTTGTGGGGAAACTGAGGACACCTGAGCCACACGTCCCCTCTTCCTCTGTCCCCAGCCCTGGTTCCTGCATGTTGCAGTCCATCTAACACGACAGGCATCTTTCATTACCCGCTCCCTTGTCAAGGCCAAACTCCGCCAAGGCCACCAGTCCTCTGCTTTGGACACTGAGTGCCCCCATCACCCATACTCATTCTCCTGCCATGATTTACATTTACACACCAGGGGACAGGCAGGGCCCCCACTGTGACCCCCAGATCAGCTACCCCAGGATGTTAGAGGCTGTGTCCAAAGTCAGAGGCTAATAGGAGGCTGGGCTGAGTCTGGACTCACTGTACAGTGCTCCTTCCACACCCTGCCACAGAGCCCCGCTCCTCCTGGTCTCATTTTCAACTCACTGTCCCCTCCTCCCCCCACCCCTAACACACACAGGGATGTCGAGAAGGTAGGGAGGCCAGATGTAGCCTTGTCTGCCTTGGCCTTTGACCTCTCCTTGGCCGAATGACATGCACTCCCCGCTGGGCGAGGTCGCGGGCAGCAGAGGAAGGTCTGCTGCCTCCTTAGTCTCGCCTTGTACCCTCCTGCGGTGGCCTCGACGGGAGCTGGAGGGCAGGCGGGGCTGGGAGAGTGAGAGCCAGCTTCCAGACTGGCGCATCTTGCCCGGGGCCAAGGGAAACCGCAGACACAGAGCGGGGCACAAAGTTCGACCCAACACACGGCGCACTGGACATCTCTGGCCCGGCCCGCCGGTCACTGAAACTGGGCACGGGCGAGGGGGTTTGGGGAAAGGTGACGGTGCCGGGCTTAGAGGTCTGAAGTATCTTGTGGAGAGCAAGGGTCTGGCCCGGAGGAGAGGGGCGAGACGGAGAGGAGTCTTGGTTCAGCGGGTGCGGGGGACTCGGGGCCCCGAGCCGGCCCGCCCACGCCAGCCCGGCGGAGGGCAGCGGCCTGGCCGTGCGTCGGGCGGCGCTAGGGCCCCGCGGAAGGCCGGCGGGCGGGCGGGCGCCGAGCTGCCTCCAGCCATGGCACGCAGCGGCGGCGGCGGCGGCGGCGGCGGCAGGAGCCCGGCGCGCTCCGCTAGGTCCCAGTCCCGCGCCCAGCGAGCGGGCGCCGTGGAGGGCCGGGCCTCCCCCGGCCCGCGAGCACAGCGCCGAGCCCCAGGCCGCGCCGCCGGGGGCCGCCCGCGCGGCGCTGACAGCCGCGCCCGCGTCCTCCCCGCCCGGGCGCTCCCGGACATGCCCCCGGGGCGCGGCGGCGGGGACCCCGGGGCTTGCCTCCGCCCAGGGCCCCCCGCCCCGCCCTCGGGCGCCCCGGGCCCGCGCTGAGCACGCCTCCCGCACGCCCGGGTCCCTCCGGCCAGCGCGCAGCGGGCCCCAGCGCTGGGGTCCCCGCGGGCGATGGGTTGATGGGCGCCGGAGGACGCAGGATGCGGGGGGCGCCCGCGCGCCTGCTGCTGCCGCTGCTGCCGTGGCTACTGCTGCTCCTGGCGCCTGAGACCCGGGGCGCGCCCGGCTGCCCGGTGCCCATCCGCGGCTGCAAGTGCTCGGGGGAGCGGCCCAAGGGACTGAGCGGCAGCGCCGCCAACCCAGCGCGCAGGAGGGTGGTGTGCGGCGGTGGGGACCTCCCGGAGCCGCCCGAGCCCGGCCTCCTGCCTAACGGCACCGTCACCCTGTGAGTACCCTTCCCGGCGGGGCGAGCGGAGGCGGGACAGGAGGTGCTGAGGGAGGGGGAAGGGGTCCCGCCGCTTCGGAGACCCCGGGACAGGCCCGAGCCCAGGCGCCGAGAAGGGAGGCTCGGAGGAGTAGGGCAGAGACTAGGGCTCGAGGGGCGTCGAGGGAGGAAGGAGCTTGGGGGCAGGCGGGCCGCACCGAGAGGCACCGCGGGCGCCCACTCACCTGCACAGGTGAGTGGAATGCACGCTAGCGGGACGCCGGCGCCCCATAAGTTTCCAGCCCGGGCTAGTGTTGCGGACGTGGGGGTCTGAGGAGGGCGAGAGCCGGGAAGGCTCAGGAGAGATCATCGCCCGCAGGGGTCTCTACCACCGCGGACGCGTCGGGGCCAAACTGGACGAGTGTCTCGGCTGCACCCGGCGGCCGGGCCCCCGCGGTTGGTGGCACCCTATTGGCACCCCGGGCCTGCCAGCCCCGCTTCCAGCCCGTCTGCGTAGGGCAGCGGAGGGCTGGCTCGGAAAAGCCCGTCCTTGGAATGTGGGCCCTTCTGATCTGCAGGGGACCCTGCGTCCCGACTCCTCCTGGGCCCCCCTCTCACTGGCGTGCGTTTGTGTCGTGAGCTTGTGCGGGGCCCTGCGTCCCTGCCTCTTCCTCGCCTCCCCTAGAACTAGCTGGAGCTTTGACTTCTAAGCGCAAAGATTGCAGAGAAAGCAATCGGCCGGGGGAGACGGGTGCACCCTGACCTCCTTCCGTGACTCTCCTCTCAACCAGAGCCTTAGTAAGCACTTGCTTTGGCGGCACCGAGCACCGCTGCGCTGCACCCGGACCCCGAGCCGCCTCCGAGGGGGGCTCGAGTCCCAGCAACCGGGAGCATTGGCGACCCCTCCCCACCGCAGAGATTTCCTGCGCCGACCACGTGCTTGGAGCTCCACGCACGCCGTGGAGTTGAGGGTCGGGGCCTGGCGGCCGCCCCTTCCTCCCCTATCCCAAATCTAGCCTAAAAGCCGCTTCCCTTTCCCCGTCCTCCTGACCCCAGTGGCGACCGTTTCTCCACCGCCCCTTGCCCGGGTCGGGGCTGGCTCAGTCTACTCGATTGTGTCCAGAACAATACAGTAACGCCTCTGGTTGGGTGAGTTCAGAGGCTGCCCGCTTCCTGACAGGACACAACTGGTCAGCTCTGACGTCGGCCGTCTGGCCTGCATTTTCCCCAGCTGGGGTGTGTGTGCATGTGTGTGCCTGGGGTGGGGGAGGTGTGTCTGCTCCTCCCCTCCCCCCTGCCTGCCGCTCAGGGTTATGGCAATGGCCAGGTCTCCCTGAGTGTCCACTGGTGTTTAAGGGTCCCAGCAGGCGTGGGCATTCCCAGCCCACTCGGTTCTGGAGGAGAAAAATGCTTGCGGTGTGGAATAACCGGGCGGGTGTCCGTGTGAGTCCCAGCTGCATGGAGATAATTCAGTTCCGAGCGCTGGGCGTGTGTGCGTGTGCACATGCGCTTGTGTCTGAGCTCACGCACACATGGGGGTCACACTGTCAGGGTTAGGGAATCCTAACATACCAAAGGCAGAAGTGGGGGTGGAAAGGTGGTTTTGCAGCACATCTTAGAATGATTTGGCAGCTAATGCTTTCCAGCCATGGCTAATTCCCATCGACGCCACCCCGAGGAAAGAGTGTGGCCAAATGTTGGTGAGAATATATTGTGACCAGGTGGCAGCAAAGGTGACTTTTAGCTCACCTCTGCATCTCAACCCGTCCCCAGAGGAAGGGCCTCCCTTCCCCCTTCCCTTCCAGGCTGCTGACCGGGCTGGCTTGGGATACCTTCCAAAGGAATTGCCCCCCAGCCTGGCTGGACGTCCCCACAGGGAAGACAGACAGGGCAGGCCAGGGAAGTGCCCGAGAGCCCGCTGGGCAGTCGTTGGACAGTCGCTGGCCAGTGAGCCCGGACTGTAAGAATCCCCAGCCACAGACATATTCTCAGCTTTACCCACCACCCCAGGAGCCACATGAGCCTGCCCTGATGTCCCCCAGCCCCAGCTGGCTTCTGAAGAAAAGAGAACCCGGGCCGTCCTTCAGCAGAAGCCGGGCACGGATTGCTTTCTCTCGGGGCTCAGTCCCTTGACACACTCACCCCTGCCCCAGGAGGCATCTTGAGGGAAGAAGGAGGTTAAGGTCTGTGTGTGGGCAGAAAGGGGGTGACCCCTTTCCTCCCCATCATAAAGGATCATGGCTGACCCTTTTCTTTAACGAGAGAAAAGCGTAACACGTGTATTACTATTACGTGCACACGTGCGCACAGGAGTCATACAAAATACGAACTCAAAGCGGGGCAGGTGGTTGAGGCTTAATGCTCTCCATAGGGGAGAGATGTGTGGGCCCCGGGCAGTGGGAGGCAGGCGGGAAGGTGAGTGTCACCAGAGCTGCCCAGGAACGAAGGTTGATTATTCGGATCGAGTCTCCCAGGTAACAGAAGAGTAGACAGAAGGTCCGTCCGGGCGTCTAGGCGTAGTGACTGCTGCCAGTGTCTTCTCCGAGGTCGACCTTTCCTGGTTATTTGATGAGATCTCCAGGGAGGGGATGTTAAGACAGTTGTGTTTCTTTGGGAAAGAAGGTTTGCTCAGTCAGACTGGGGAATTCCAGGGAGAGCCTCTTCTCCCTGAGGTTGGGGGGCCGGAGGACAGGATAAGGTTAGCGGAACCTTGGTCCTGAGGCAGCTTCTAAGGCCAGCTTAGCATGTCACCGCGCCAGTCCTTGGGGTATCGCTTTCTAAGCCCCAGCAGTGGAAGGACGGGGCTGCCGCTTCAGCCTGGCAGCAAGGCAAAAGCCGAGAGCTCAGAGCGTCCCCCATGAATGATCAGCCTCGACCCCCAAACTCCTTCATACACTTTTTTTTTTTTTTGCCACACAAATTTTCCCTGTCACCTTTTAGCTTGTCACCCATTGCAAACGACGGGACTTGAGTCATTCGTTTTTGCATTGTGGTTTCTCCTCCTTCCCGTGTCCCCTTCATTCCCACTGAGGACCCATCCTTTCTGCAGAGTGGGCCCCCAGGTGCCAGTTTCGTGAGTCCTCTGGGGACTTGGGGTTCCACCTCGGGGAGCCTGGCAGACTCTGAGCACTGGGGACCGTTCCGGCACAAAGGTGCTGGGTGAGGTCCCTGTCTGCAGGAGCCTCCCGCTCTGAGCCAGCGACAGTCCTGCTGGCCTCACGGCAGCCCCTCCCTCCACCTCCGCGCGCGCGTTATCTCAGCTCTGCCTTCTGTTTTTGCAGACTCGAGCCCCTTGTCCCCCACCCTCGGCGTTTTTCTCTCTAGCGGATTTTCATTCGCTGTTTTCCAGGAAAGCAGAGCTCTTGGCTTCCTTCCTGCTGTGTCTGTCCCACCCCACCCCCCGGGCTGGCGGCCGGGCCGCAGGGCAGCTGTGGGCAACACTGCTCCTGCCCAGAGCCGGCATGGGCCTCCCCGAGGGGACGGGCGGCTTATGACGGGGACATGGGGTGGAAAGGGGCCCCCACCGCTCCTGGGCCGCAGCTGACGCCCACCCTCTGGTTCTCAACTCTGAGTGAGCGCGAGGGGGAAGGGCCAGAGGATAAGGCATTCCAGGAGAGCACTGGTCGTAGATAGCTCCAGAAGGAAATCTGTGAGGACCTCCCAGGACATCTGAGCAGCCCTGGAGGATGCCAGGCGGTGTCATAAATTCCTAGAACGTCTGTGCGGAGAAGGGTCCTAGAGATAAGCCAGTCCGGCCCCCACATCTTACAGCTGAGCCGCTGGGAGGGGAAGGGGCCTGCCACTAGCCAGGGCCAGGCGCAGCGTTCCTGTCAGGTGAGGGCCTCACTGTTCACCTGGCTGGACTTGGGACCCACGGGACACACAAGCTGCTTTAGAAAACCCAGGTCCCTTCCCACCAGGACCCAAGCCCTTTTGACCTGGGAACATTCCAGGCTGGGTGAGGAGGGGGCAGGCACGGGGCAAGTTACTCCATATTCCACCCAGACATGCAAACCCGAGACCTGCTCAGCCTCCATTCCAGGGGGGCCGCCCCCCACGCAGGCTGCCCACCCAGAGGACAGGGGCTGTTGGTGACAGGCGAGCTAGCACTGGCTGGGCCCTGCTGCTGGGAGTGTGGTTGTCCTGGAGTGGGGGGCGGGGAAGATGGGCCTGGGGCAGTGGTTCTCGAGCACAGAGCTCCCTCTGCATGGCCCTGATGGGGGGGGGGGGGGGGGCTCGCCTCGGCATCCCACACATACTGCAGCCCCCCATGATCCACGCAGGGGAGTGTGGGGCACAGTGTGCCAGCGCCAAGCACATGGCCCCAGGGCAGTGGGAGGTGCTGGCTGCAGGGGCGGGCCCAGGCCGGCCCCCACCCCCTTCTCGTCCACCCTCTTTCCCCATATGGTTCTCATAAGGTCTGGGCTCCGAGACAGCAGCCAGAGGAAGTGGCCGTGCACAGAGAGCTTTTGTGAGAGAGGAGGGGGAGGGGAGGAGCGGAGAGAAAGAAGGAAAGAAAAGAGGGAAGAGGCCACAGGCAGAGAAGGCCCAGCACGCCCCGCGCCCCCAGTGGCGCAGGTCTCGGCTGCACACCCCCACGCGGGGCCCGACCTCCGCCCGTCCAAAGTGAGGGGCACCGCGGAAACCCACGTCCCGCCCGGACTCTTCCCATCCACCCATTCCGGGGGCTAGAGGCAGCCAGCTCAGTGTGCAGGGATCCACCCCAGGGCCCGGGAACCCCTGTCCTTGCAGCTGCCTCTTGTGTGGGATGTCACGGTCCGTGGTCGCATCCCAGGGAGGGCGCTGGGCAGAGATCAGAGCTCTCTGGGGGACAGTGGCCGAGTCCTTATTGCACCAAACACACTGGCGAGGCCGTCGTGCTGGGCTCCAAAGAGGACACATGAAGTTCAGCCCCAGCAGGTCCAGGACCCAAACGGGTTCTTTGGTCTGAATTTTTCAGCACGTGTGCATGAACCCAGCCACTCCTGAACCCGCTGAGGAAGTCCTGTCCTGCTAGCTAC